CAGTTATCAGTCCAGTGCTTATCCTACAGTGCCACACCAGGACTTCGTAACATAGATAATGGATGCAATTTCAGGAACCAAAGAACCGTGGTCTAATGCCATATGCTACTCAATAAAATAACAACTGAATTTGCTATTTTCTATTTTGAAAAGTGTAACAATTCATACACACTCTACTAATCTCATAGTTTCACTATGAAATATGTGTGAATTACTACATGCCATTATATTTTTATGGCCTTGGTGTGTCACTATAGGAAAACCACTGGTCTAGTAACCACAAGGCTGGCAGTTAAAACATATCAGCTGCTTTCAGAAACCCTATACAGGGTAGATATGAGTCAGAACTGACTGGATAACACACAACAACAACAACAACAACAACAACATTATCTTCTGAAAAGTTTAATGATCCTTTTGTCTTATTTATATTGTTGTTATGTTCCATTGAATTACAGAATTATATATACGTTTATGTATGAAACAATGCTTTTCTTCTCTCCAAAAAATCAATAGACACCAAACAACTGTGGATTATGGTTTATAATTCCTTTGTAGCTTCCATTCTATTGAAGAATTAGTAGATATACAACACATTGCAAATATATAAATATACTGTTGTGGGTAAGTGCCATGGAGTCAGTTCCAACTCAAAGCTACCAGTATAAAGTTTCTGAGGAGTGATTGGTGGGAGCTGTTGACCTTGTGGTCAACAGTCTAACTCTGTAATTCTGTAGGATACCACAGAACCACAACAAAATTCATGTATAAATATATGTAGTATCCCCAATTTAATATCCATATTATATTGTTGCTCTATATGATGTTACTGATAGGTCCCCTAAGCCTTGATTTAGACTCACAGCAACACTATAATAGTACAAAACTATCACACAGCGTTTTCTAGATTGTAGTCTTTATGGGAATAGATCTTTAGATCTTTTTTCTTGGTCTGGAGCAAAAGGATAAGCATTGGACAGAAGGTCAGCAGTTCAAACTCACAAACTGCTCCTCAGAAATACTAATAGGATTGCTATAGGGTTGCGACTTGACAACATTTCAAAACTACATATAAATACATACAGGTGCCATCAAGTTAATTCTGACTCTTAGCAACCCTGTATAAAGTTTCTGAGAAGCAGTTGATGGGTTTAAACTGACATCTTGCAGTTCATATCAACCATGCAATCTAATGCTTATCCTTCAGTGCCACATAAATATATGTTTTCATTTACATGTTATTGCTAGGTGTTGTCTAGTTTCTGGCCCATAGCAACCCTATGTTGCCATGCATTGTTTCTGCCACACTGCCAATCAACTCATTGGTCTTTTTCAATGAACTTCCACTTGCCAAACATGATGTCATTCTCCAGGGATGGAGAAAAGTCAAAGCAGAAGACTTTTAAAGAATGCAACAGTCAGAATCTTTGTCTACGTTTTCAAATGAATACTTAGCATATTGGGTTATACAATAAATAACAGTTGAACAAGTCACTGCAATTTTTATATAATTGTACTGAGCATTTTAATAGATTTGTGTGTGTGTGTGTGTGTGTGTGTGTGTGTGGTGGTGGTTATGGATGTGTGTTGTCAAGACAGTTCTGACTCCTGTGTAGGAGTTCTATGACTGTAAATTTTATGGAAGCAGAAAGTCTTATATTTCTCCTATAGAGCAACTGGTAGATTCAAACTGTTGACCTTGCAGTTAACTGTCCAGCTTGTAATCCACTACACTAGCAGGGCTACTTTTACAGTTTTAGGTAGAAATAAATAATGGTTATAAAAGTGATAAAACAGGAGGAGATAAATTAGGATATTTTAGATATGCACATGTGGATATGTGACAAAGTAAGATAAATTAAATATACACATATGAATACCAAAGGTCTTGAATATAATTCAGACTTTATTTTAATTAGAGAAAAATAAAGAAAAAACCTACACCAGAAGTAGAATAAGCACTAGTTACAAATATGTCTATAAATGGATGGCTTTCCGCAAAGCAGATGACCAATGAAGGTCATATGGTGGTCTACATGATTTTGTGACAATAAGGTGTTGTTGTTGTCAAGTGCTAAGGAGTGAGTTCTGACTCATAACAACCCTACGCAAAACAGAATGAAACAATAGCTAGCCCTGTGGTCATCCACACAATTGTTATTTGAGCCCATTGCTGCTGCCACTGTGCCAATCTATCTCATTGGGGGTCTTTTTCTCTTTCACTGAAAATATATTCACTAGTAAAATTTGAACTAACATTTGTTAATACAAAAAGTCAAAACAAATGAGCTTTTTCACAGAAGTATTGGGGTGGTAAGTAATGGTTAATATTCCAAGGCAGATTCCTTACAGGTCACACTCTTGAAAAGAAACAGAAGAACTAGTTATACTTTAATGCTAAGAAAATTAATACTGGTAATCAAGGCTGAGATGGTGACTCAGTTCATAAATTCCAACATGTCATAAAGACACCTCATCAGCTGAACTCCAAGTCTCTGAGGAAGAGGAGGAAGTAGATGGTGTTCTCTGAATCATGAAGGGTGAGGAAGATCAGATCCCTACCATAGTTAGTTATATATTTGCATATATAAAGCTTGAACCACATGTTCTTACTTTGTTCAAGTCACAGCTCATGCTGGTACTTCCCAAGTGATAAAATATTAAGGAGACAATATAAGGATATAGATAAGGTTCTGACACATCATAATACTATTTATCCATTTCAGTTTCCACCAGGAGAAATAGCACACAAGGTCAGTTTGAACAGCAAAGTCTGCAGTTCAAACTCACCAGCTGCTCTTTGGAAACTCTATATAGGGTCTCTATGAGTCAGAACCCACTTGAAAGCAATTGAAGCAATCAGGCAACTTAAAAGTCTACAGAAAAGGGACCAAGGTCTTTCTTTTAGGCAATAATGTCCAACTCCTATCAGCTTACTGAGTATGTGACAGGAAATCAAATCCTATTGTCTTAAAACTAAGCAGTAATATTATTATAATGGTAAAACAAACCAACATTATTTGCTAATAATATATGTCAGGCACTGTTCTAAAAAATGTTACAAATAGTCAAGAATATTTCTATATATTTAGTTATTAAGTCACATATATGTTAATAGCTTAACATATATTAATGTATTTAATTCTTGTTGTTTCCATTTATAGAAGAGGATACTGTGGCACTCAAATAGGACAAAATATTTCATTTTCATAGCAAATTTATTTGACTAAACTTTCATATTAACAATGGGGTACATTCAGTTTAACTAATGTAGTCACCTATATTTTCCTAATTACTGCAAAATACACAGTAGCACACATTAATGTGTATACAACTTATTGTTTCAACTCTTTCAAGATATGTGAAAGAGAGACTAATGAATTAAAAAATATCCAAAAACTTGATGATCAAAACTATTCCAAGAGAAAAAGCTGCTTACTCATCATTTTGCATTGAAAATTTTAATAAGAAAATTATTAGAGGATGTATCCTTTTTTGAGTACACTGTCTTAAAGGATATTTTATTAATATATGCATATATAATAAGTAATTTATAGAGTTTCTTATTTTGATGGTCTTCACAATCTTGGTTTATTTTCAGAAACAGAGTAGAGAATCTCTTAAAACAATTAATCTAGCCCTCAAAGAATCAAACTACTGTGATCTAGTCCTGGTGTGGCACTGTAGAATAAGCTCTAAAATGCTCACTGCAAGGTCAGTGGTTCAAACCCTTCAGTCACTCACTGAAAATCCTATGAAGGGTTGCCAAGAGTCAGTAGCAACTCATTGTCATTTAACAGCAACAATATAGAAGTATTTATTGCTTTGTTTCTGTCTGACGTCCTGAGAACCACTGATCCTCACTTTCCTCAGCTTCATCCACTAGCTACCATTGATAATAAAATTTTCCTTGATAACAAAGGCTATTTAAGTGCAAGATACAGACTCACTGTCCCAAAGGAAATAGTAGATCATCCATCCATCTTCTCATCCATTCAGTTAGTCACCCATTCATTCAATTGTGCATACATTAAATGCATATGTAATGAGGATAAGCTATATACCAGGAGATATGTAGATGTCAGGGTCCTGGTGTGGCACTGTAGGATATATGCAGGATTAGTAACTACAAGGTCTGTAGTGTAAAACCTAGCCACTCCTCAGAAATCCTATACAGGGTGGTTATGGGTCAGAACTGATTCGACTGCACTTAATAAAAATACTTAGATGTTGGAGAGTCCACCAGTCACGCCACAGGATAAAGATGAAACTTTCTGTTCCTGCAAAGATTTACAGTCTTGGAAACCCTATACAGGGTCACTATGAGTTGAAATGAACTAGATGACACTTAACAGCCACAACATACAGATGTTAGAAAAATAAAACAATATTATATGCTCTTTGCATCTAAGGATTTTCTAATGTGACCAGATAGATCGATATAGCATGATAAAGAATTTAATGCATTTATATGGCAAGAATTTGGAGCTGAGTCATTGGAAAACTGTTAGGTTTTCCTATTAAAATTCAAAATGTTTCACACAGTAGAAGCATTGAGAGAGAATAATTCTACAAGAAAGGCATAGTATTGGAAGACATTGAGGTTGAAAAGGTCCCTATTTTTAACAAATAGTGACATACTTAAAATTGTCTGACTCCTAACTGGTGTGGCACTGTGGATCAGCACTGGACTGGGAACCACAAAGTCAGCAGTTCAAACCCACAAGCTGCTTCTCATAAACCATATACAGGGTCACTGAGTTGGAACTGCTTTGATGGCACTTCACAACAACAACAACAACAAATGGTGCATAGGGTAATTGCAGATGATGAAATTGGAATGAGTTGTTGTTTTTGTTGATAAGTGCTGTCAAGTTGCTTCCTACTCAAAGCAACCGTGTATAGAGTTTCTGAGGAGAGTCTGGTGGGTTTATCCTGTAGTACCCTTAGTCTTCAAACAATCTTAAATGAAATAAGAATATTTGTTTTTTTTTTCTCATTTATTTGAAAGTCCAGTATCTTCCCAAGAATTTTTTCAGAGCGTTCTTCACATCTTTATTTCTGAAGCTATAGATGATTGGGTTAAACATGGGAAAGACAACTGTATAAAACACTGCAACCACCTTATCAGTGTTTAGAGAATAGCTGGTGGCAGGACGTAAGTACATAAACAAAAGTGTCCCATAGAATAAGGTGACTGCTATGAGATGGGAAGCGCAGGTGGAAAATGTCTTGCTTCTGCCTCCTGAGGACTTGATGCTCAAAACAGTAATCAGAATGCAGAAATAAGAGATAAATATGACCACAAATGTGCTGGTCTGGATGAAGCCACACAAGGCAAAGAGCAGAAGCTCGTTTATATGAGTATCTGAACATGATAAAGCTAGCAGAGGGGGGATATCACAAAAAAAATGGTTGATAACATTGGAGCCACAAAATGGTAGCCTGAATGTGAGGCACACATGCACCAATGAAGTTATACTTCCACTGAAGTAGGCCAACATAATGAAGCAGAAACAAACTCTCTTAGACATAAGTGTGGAATAGAGCAATGGGTTACAGATGGCTGCATAGCGGTCATATGCCATTGCTGCCAGAATGAGGCACTCGGCATCAGCAAAGCAAGCAAAGAAAAGCATTTGTAGTGCACAGCCATAAAGAGAAATGCTCTTCCTTGCTGCTAAGAAATTCACTAGCATTTTAGGAGTGATTGCTGTTGAATAACTGATATCTAAGAAAGACAAGTTGCTAAGAAAATAATACATGGGGGTTTGTAGACTGGGATCAACATTAACTAAGATTATTAAGCCCATATTTCCTACCACAGTTAATGCATATACTATGAAAAATACCAGGAATAGTGTGAATCTAAGAGGTAGATAATCGGTGAATCCAACAAAAATGAACTCAGTTGGCATGGTATAATTATTCTTTAACATCTTGGTTTTCTCATTCATGAGAGATAGCATCAACAGATGTAAGTTGATCTCATTCACAAGAGATAGCATCAACAGATGTAAGTTGACTTGAGTGATGAATGAACCAATGATGTCTTCCTCCCGTCTAAGGAACGAAATAGAAAATTAATAAAGTTATGCTTTGGCATTTTCTCTGACAAATTGTTTTTAGTTTCTTCTAAATAATATAATTAGAAATTGTTTTTAATACCAGAGGATATTACTTGGAGGGTGGTGTCTTATAATATAGTAACTCATTAAAAGTTATGTATATTAAGATATAATATTAGTGCCTTTCAATCTAAAATGGAATTGACTGATGACATCTGATAGAATTAGGAAAATTGGCAAACTTTTGAGAGGCAAGAATTCATTTTTTTTTTATCCATAAAATCACATTTTCTTTGTTAATAAAAGTACAACTGAGCAAACTTTGGGGGAAATAAATGTGCTCACAGATAAACTAGTAATTTCACAAAAGAAAATGTAATCTGAGAGGTAGCCCAATATAATAGTGAAAAGCATAATTCTTCTGGAATGACTGGCTTTGGCATTTAATATTGTTGATAAAAAAAAAATATTATTAATAAAAATGTCGGCTTTGGCATTTAATAAGTATGTACTCTAAATACTTAAATGAATGTAGATAATAGATGTGACTGGCATATAACCACTATAGGAGTATTGATTAACTTTTGTTGTTGTTAAGTGCCGCCAAGTCAGTTCTGACCCATAGCCACCCTGTATAGGGTTTCCGAGGAGCAGCTGGTGAGCTTGAACTGCCAACCTTGCAGTTCAAACGGCTTTGCAGTCTGGCGCATTAACCCACAGCACCACATCAAGACTCCATATATTGATTAACTATAGCACATCAATATCAATAAATTGACCTTTTGTTTTCTATTTTCTCTGGTTGTTTTAAAAAGTTAAAATACCCAGATGATGCTCACAAACTTTGTTTTGTTCTTGGCATTGTAGATACCTCTTTGAGCATGATCTTAAGAAGAGAAATCACTGTGTATATGTGTGTGTATGTTGGTGTTCTATGCAGATACAATGTTAAGGCAGCAGCAAATCTTTTACTTAAGCCTACAAGTGTTGCTTTCCTCACCCAAAAGGCATGTCTCTTTCTTAACCTGCTGTATGGCAATGGCTAGGGAGAGGTCCCAGAAGCATTCATCAGTTTTTCAGGACAGCAGTGTTTCCACGTTTACTGTAGTGTTCTAAACGGCAGCTATATGGGGAAAATATTAGGTGTGAAGAAGGCAACAAAGTCCTGTGGGACAAAACACTGGATTTTAAGGTCAGTTTGAACCACAAGGTCAGCAGCTCAAACTCACCAGCCGCTCCTCAGAAACCTTTTATGGGGTCACTATGAACCAACTTGACAGCACTTAACAACAACAACAAAAACAAGTCAGAAAAATAAAATTTCAAACGCTACAAAAATCCCACCAAGCATAGATGAAATTTAAACCACAATCACTACCAGAACAAGAGCGTATAACAACAAAGGCAAACTACATCTTAGCCTTTCCTTAAATCAATTTCACTTGGGTTTTCTGTAAAGTAGAACCCCCACATATTCTGGTAGAATACCAATTTATCTGCATAAATGACAATTACAACAATTACGATGATAACACATAATAAATAAAAATTATATAAGGAAGCTTTAGAAGTTTGTGAAAATTTTCATTACCTTTTTTAAAAAAATGTATTATTACACGATAGATCAGTATTACATTCAACTACTCATACTCGTTCCTTACTTCCTCCCTGTTTCTTGTTGCCATTTCTCCTTCTTTCCTACCCCTTTAGAAATTTGTCCTTGGATAAATGCACATTTACTAACAAATTTGAGGCCATAAGTATAGATCATGGAGTCCTGGTGGGACACTACAGAATAAGCACGGAACTGAGAGGTTGGTTTGAACTGCAATGTCAGGAGTTAAAACGCAGCAGCAGCTCCTCAGAAAACCTACACAGAGTCGCTCTAAGTTGGAATTGACTCCACAGCACTTAACAACAACAACAACAATAATATGGATTATATCAGGATAAACACTTATATAGCTATCCTACGAAGTAGAGATTATTTCTATTTTTTTACAGGTAAAAAAATGAATCATAAAGATTTGATTAACTTGGTCAACTTCAATAGTCCAATTCCTACTTCATCACCTAAATACTGTATAGTACACCCTTCTGTCAGTCACGTCTGGTCTTTGCATAATCAGGGGAGTTTCCTTCACAGGGAGTCCCACCTCTTCAATACATTTCTCTTGCTTTCACTTCTACTGCACCCTGAGCTCTAAGTCTTCTTGCTCTCCAGGGTTAAGAAGCTATGTTTCGTTTTCAAGCCTTCTCTGAGTATCCTGATTTCTTTATCCCCGAAACAGAAGATAACACAGGGGTAGCTCCATTGATTGAGGAATCTTCAGCTAAAAGTCAACAATCTGTTGTTGTTGATCTTTCTTTCAACACCTAACTCAAATATCCTGCCCTTTCATTGTACTCCCTTTGTGGACACCTTTTCTTTGGATATAGCTGAAATATTTCTTAACCACTAGTACTCAACTTTATTTTTTTTAATTTGTCTAAGATTCTTATTGCTCTTAGCATGGCCCATGAGTAGACATGTTGCTGTGAGTCAGAACTGAATTTATGCAACTAACAATAACGAGCTCTGGTAGTGTAGTGGTTACGAATCGGGCTGTGAACCGCAAGGTCAGCAGTTCGAAACTACCAGCGGTTCCGCGGGAGAAAGATGACGTGTTCTGCTCCCATAAAGATTTACAGCCTCGGAAACCCTGTGCAGGGTCACTATGAGTCGGAATCGACTTCACGGCACTTAACAACAACAACAAACAATAACAGCAAGATGCTTAGTGATGAGCATGTAGATTTTAATTTTCCAAGGAATATAACAACGAAATATGAAGACTGTTTACTGATGGATAGATAGCAGGGCAAGCTTGCTAACTGTGTTATTAAAATCCCCCTTATCCTTATTTTTCTTCTTGACCTAATTTTTAGAAAAATATTCTGAAAATTTCTATCACACATGCAGATGTAGCAATTTCTTATAATTTTAGCTGTGTAATTTTACATGAAACTGGTTGAGGGTAACATATCAAAGTAAAATATTATTCTCCACTTTAAAAAATGTTACATAAGGGGGCAAATGCAAGTCTTCACAACTGGACCAAAAAAATCACATCATCATAAATGAAGAAAAGATTGAGGCTGTCAAAGACTTCATTTTACTTGGATCCACAATCAACACTCATGAAAGGAGTAAGCAAGAAATCAAACAACATATTGCATTGGACGTATCTGCTGCATAAAACCTCTTTAAAGTATTCAAGAACAAAGATGGCTGGTTGAGGACTAAAGTGTGCCTGACCCAAGCCTTGGTATTTTCAATATCCTCATATGCATGTGAAAGCTGGACAATAAATCAGGAATACAGGAGAATTGATATATTGAATTATGATGTTGATGAACAAGTACCATGGACTGCTAGAAAAAGAAAAAAATCTTATTGGGAGAAGTACAACAGAATTCTCCTAGAAAAGACTTTGTCTCTCATCCTCTGACATGTTATTAGGAGGGACACGTGCCTGGAGAAGGACATCATGCTTGCTAAAATGGAGAGTCAGCAAAAAAGTGGAACACAATGACATGGATTGGCAAAGTAGCAGCAGCAATAGGTTCAAACATAAAAACAATTGTGATGATGGCCCAGGAACAGACTTTATTTCATTCTGCTGTGCATAGGATCTCTTGACAGTACCTAACAACAGGAACAATATGAGGGCGCTTCAGAATGTTTGTGGAAAATGGAATAGACAGATAATAGAGTT